AGAGGCGATCCGGCAGCACAAGCGCGGCGACCTCAATTAAAACACCATCCGCCCCCGCCACAGCCCGCTGAAGAAACTCCGCGGAGATCTCGTCGCTCTTTCTAGTTGTGCACCAGATGAAGGGCTGGGGTCCCTCCCGCTGGATCGCGGATCGATTGTACAGATCGAGATCCGCCTGCCTGCTCAGCGGTGCGGAGAGGCCGGTTACCGTACTCCTGCTCGACCGCCTGTCTCTTGACTCACCGACTCAGACCGCTGCCTCACAACCGGCGGGCATTCCCATAATAACAACAATAATACCGGCGCTGGCGGTCATGAACTCCGCTGTTTGGACTGATGACGGTCACGACGCCGCGGGGGACACAGTCCTGGGACACAGGGGGCAGGGGGACAGAGCGAGTCCCCCGCCCCGCGCCCCGCTGCTGGCGCACGCCGCTCCGAGGACCCCCCGGCCCGGGGCTCTTCTTAAAGTCGTACCGGATCGGTAACCCGTGTCTCGGCGCCCGGCAGCCACCGCGCTGCGAGCCGAGGAACCCAGCGCGGCGCGCACAGAACACAGGCTCGGGTCGATCACACTAACGGGCAGCTCGGTACGGGACTCTAGAACCGGGAATCCTCCCTGGGAGGTTTAGCTACAGGGTGCTGAACATGCCTTTGCTCTCCCAGCTCTGCAACAGAAGGAAAAGTTATCCTTTCTGGAGAGCTGCCAGGAGTTCACCCTAAAAGAGACAACAAAAGCCAGAGCAGGGCACACGTCCGCACACAAGGGAACACCTGAGAGACACCAGACAACACACTTCAAGCGGTCCCGGAGAGAACATGCAAACTCCCCGCACACAGGCGCCGGACTCGCACCCGGGACCCGAGCGCTGCGGGCCAGAGGCAGGCCGTTCGGGGTGAAGGGCACCGCACAGCCTCTGCGGGCAGGTGCCGGCTGCAGAAGCCGAAACTGTTGGGCCGGTTACGTAACTCAGGCAGCGGAGCTCGCTCTGCTCACGAGAAGGGAACAGCGCTGCACGCGCGGTGCACCCGTACCCGCGGGGAGTCAATGCGCGTGCTAAACAAAGTCGAATTCTTGCGCGCTCGGTAGAATCACGAGCGCTCCGCTCCACACGCGGAATTCCGACGCAGCAGAGACCCGAGCCGGAAAGTTATTTACCTGCATGTTAACTGGACGTCGTTTCGCGTCGTCGATCTCGCCGCTTGGGTGTCGCGAGTCGGCTGCCTCGCTCGCTCGCTCGCTCTGTCGGGTCTGATACTCTTTAAAATTCCTCCGTCTCTCTCTTTCACTCCTTTCCCGTCCCCCTCCCTTCTCTCTCTCCCTCCCTCTCGTCGTTTTGACAACTGGGCTGAGCAGCTCCTCACTGACAGCGCTCCGTACTGCCCCGGCGTTTTCTTGAGACGAGGATGAGAGAGCGAGCGAGAGAGACATTCCCCTCCACGAGTTTAACTGTTTCCGCTCTCGCGGGCCCCGCTGCTCCCCGCGAGGCGGCCGGGCGCTCGCTTCCACAGGTGATCCAGTCAGACCCCCGACTGGGCGGGTAGATCCCAGTTCCCCTTTCTTCATCCACGATCCCTCAGGCAGACAGATGATGATACACCTTGGTAGACGACGCCATGGTGTCTTTTTTGACGGAAAAAAATATCCAGTTCTTCTACGGTCCGGCGTAGAAAACGTGTATTATTTCTGTGGTAAATCTACTTTACAATATATTCCGCCAACACCTTGTAAAATATTTTCTCCATCACTCGTGTAGTCTTCTGTTGGTAATTGTTTCTTCTAAAAACACAGGAAGAGGCGGGAAGCCCGCGAGCCCTGGGATGTTGCGGCGGCGCTGGGATCAATGAGCGCGACCTTGGCTCGCGGCAGGGCGCGCGAGCGCACGCGGGACTGGAATGCCGAGGAGTGCGGATGCCTCGCGGCTGACAGTACCGATCGATTTGGGGGGACAGGCGGCCTGCGTCCCCCCAGCCTCTCGCCGTGACCGCAAACTCAGCGTCCCGCTCAGCTCTGAGCGAAGGCCGCTGTACTGTTATTGAACTCAATCCCCATCTCGTCAGCCCACTGCCACGTCTTGAATTCCGCTTCTGAGCATTTTTTTATATCGTGGTGAACGGAATATTCCCAAATAAAGAATTGTTCTCCAGCTTTTAATAGGGTCTGGCACAGAGATACTACAGTGTTATAGCTGATGTACAGCAATGCCAGCATTCAAACTGGTCCAGCTGTTGTCCACTTGGAAAAATTCAAACTACCGTCCATCTGTTTACAGGGTTGCGGGAGAGCCAGAGCCTATCCCAGCAAGCAACAGGAGCCCGTCCACCACAGGGCACACATAGACACAAACACACACACCAGTGTATCTGTACTGAGGGAGGAAACCTACACAAACCTGGGGAGAACATACAAACTCCACACAGACAGAGTCGAACCCAGGGCCCAAGCACTGTGAGACAGCCATGCTAGCCACTGTGTGGCCGTGCCACCCAGTTCAAGCTGCAACTCAGTTTACACCCAACTGGCTCATAATCAATTTCCACATTAGATCTGTATTGAGTATGTGTGTGTCTGTGTGCATATACAGTGTGTGTGTGCATGTCTCTGTGTTTGTGTGTGTATGGATGCAGAGGATCACAAGAAAAGTCACCTGTAACTGCGGCAACTTCACAGTCTTTAACAGTGAAATTCTGTATTTTTTGCAATTGACTAACATTAGGCAGATTCTCCATAACTGGGTTTCTCAACAGGGATTCTCCTGTGAAAGTCACAGGCTAGCAGTGCGTGTGGCCTCTCTGGGAAGCTGTTCAAGCTGTACATCTGTGCCATGTGGTTTGCAGCAGGCTGTGGGATTCTGTCACGTACCTGCTCCCTGGTCTCTGAGCCCTGGCTGCCTCACACTGTCCCTGTGCCGAGTCTCACCTGGGATCTGAACCTGCAACCCTCCCAGGCACGAGCCCTGAGCCCTACTCTGTAGAGCTGTGCCGAGCCCAACCTGGGATATGAACCCGCAACCCTCCCAGGCACGAGCCCTGAGCCCTGCTCTGTAGAGCTGTGCCGAGCCCTTGGG